CACGTCCCCCATACAGCTGATATGTAATCAGGCTGACAGCACTGGGGGGTGGGGGGGGTGGCAACACCTCTGCTTGAGTGACCTGTCACTTCCAATTGAAGAGTGGAAGTGATAGGAACCTGCGCCGGGGTAACAGGGAGGGGCTGTTGTTGCAGGCTACAACCTTCTCTAAGTGATGAGATCTGCAGAGCCCTAACACACACACACACACACACACACACACACACACACACACACCCCGCGCCGAGGAGACGACGGCGACGACGTGTTAGCCAGATGCTACGTTGTGTTACATTAGTATGCAGGGGAGGGGTCGGCGCCTCTGTGTGGCGCTGTGTGTCTTCATTCCTCTGAATAAGATACCGGTGAAACCACGGTGCTGCAGCGGAGCCATGTGACGGCCTGACCCTAATAACACGTCGTGTCGGGATATCCATCACCGATATCAGGTGGAGACACATAAATATTTATGCCATGGCAGAGAGAAAAATCACAGCCAAACCCAAGATTAGCCACGGCCAACTGTGAGTGTGTGTGTGTGTGTGAGCAGCGCGGAGGCCGGACCGTCCTGTCAGGATACACACTTTGTTATTGATCTTGAAAACCCAATCATGGCCGTAATTGAAATCCCCGCAGAATTAATTGGTTCATTCTGGGAGGCGTTGACTGTTGTCAGCCTGTTGTTACACATTTGTCACAGTTGTCGACGTCTCCACTAACATTTTTCATCCTGACTCCCCGACCCCACACACAGTCCAACTTAAAACAGGAAAAATGTGTCGGCTTCGACCATTATTAACCATTATTATTTAAATGTTCATATGGGTAAGAACTATGCAGTACTCATGCCTGCCACTAGAGGGCTCCAGGTACAATACCACCCAGACCTGATATCCCTGACTGGGTTGCATCATGAAGGGCATGTAAACATTCAGCCAAATCATTACACAAATTACTTTGGCTGCGGCGCCCCCTGATGAAAAACCGAGAGCATGTGTTTTTCATAGGATATTTTTTTACTTCTTATCCAGAGTCTGACTTACTGAACTGTTACTGAACTTTTTCAGGTGGTTGAGGGGGGAAATCCTGAGATTTCAGAATCTCAGGATTTGATGGGAACACAAATACAGTAAATGACACATTTTCAGAATCTCTGGATTTGATGGGAACTGGATGCACTGAGACCGTGTCGCTACGATCGTCCTTATTTACTTACACCGGACGTGGCCTCGCCTTAGAATCTCTGAATTCTCCCCAGATCAGGAGGAGATACAAGTACAAAATTTACATTTCGGTGGAGGAACAAACGAGGATTCGCCGAGACAATTATGATAACAACGTAAAGTGAACTTCAGTGGGATTTGTAAACATCGTTTATCTCCTCAGTATCTCTCTGGCTGAGGGTAATAGTCGCTGTTTGATTGCAATTTCACACTCAGTCAATTTTGTTCAGCATAACTAGGGTATTGATTTTCTTTTTTTACTGCTGTGCAGTGAAAACACGGATAAATTACAAGACGGGGATTTTTATCCTGTCAGATAAAGAAGACTCGTCCTCGGAATCCCGTGTAGAACATAAGAACTTCCAAATGATACTTTAGTAAATATAATTACAGCGGAGGCCATAAAGTGTTATAGTCAATCGACTTGTGTTGAATTTGAAACATTTCCTGCAGTAGTTACTGGTGGATTTAGGATCCTTGGAACTCCTCATCCTGAGAAAGCTCCTGAATATTCATGCAGATGACCCGAGGGGTCACGTCAAATGAGCGACATCATGCACATCATTATGGATCTACCGTCAGCGACTGCTCTCAGAGACTCTTGATCAACACAGCCACAGCAAAGACAAACAAACAAAAAAAAAACCACATCCTTGAAAAGCTGCGTGAAATATCAGCAGCTCGTCAAGTGAAGGATCGCAGCCTCCGCGCTTTGCCTATAAAACAGTCATTTTCAGTCGGGGGGGGGTTCAGGGTTCAGGGGTCGAGGGCGAGGGCGAGGGCCGGACGACTCCACGTCCTCCTCCAACCTGCTGCTCGTACTGAGCCGTTGGTCTGCACCACGATAACGCCATTATTCATTAGTCATTCAGCGCACAGAGCCGCTGTGACCCAAACCAGCTGCCCTCCCTTCTCCACCACCAACAAACACCCCCACACCTGCTCCTTAGGCTCCTCCTCCACCCAGATCTGTGTGGGAATCCAGGGCTCGTGGCACCGTGGTGTAGTTTATTAGAAGAGAGGGAGGAAAGGAGGGAGGGAGGTTCAAGAACAGAGGCGTTTAAGGCGTTTACTGTTGCTAACAGACATATTAGCTCAATGCTACTACGTTTTTACTCTTGTTTTTATCACACACTGAACACATCAGACGTTTTGAACCAATGGGTTTCAGACGCAGACGTTTCTTTGAAGTATGCAGCTATAACTGACCTCTTATCTCTGGCCACTTGGGGGCAGTGGATACCAGATAAAAACACAACACTGCCCTACAGATTTCATTTTTGTTTTGACTGCAGGAAGAGTCTGCAGTGCCAGTGCAGACGCCGGTGTCCAGATTTCCAGCCTGCTGGGTTGGCTGACAGTCAAACGGAGTTCTGTCGGCCACGTCTTTATCTCTGCCTCCAGGTTAGAGCTTGATCAAAGTGTACTGGAGCTCAGATACGGTGCCACCACCGCACCTATCAGCTGGAGAGCCAATCAGGCGGCAGGAAAAACAGTTTTCCCGCTTATAATAATTGTCTTTGTTCTGGTGGATTTCCAGTTTTAGTCTGAACACCGGAGGATGTGAAGTATGAAAATCCTTGTCGCCGTCAAAGGTCATGGAATATCACAGTTGTAGTGTCATCCCCTGGTGGCAGGTGACAGAACTGTTCCATTGTTGCTGCCTCGTGGGTGTTGACAGCTTCTACAAATAGGTGACATTTCTGTTCTTGGCTTGTTCCCCAATTACAACCTTATTTCATTTTACAGGAGTTTGTGCTTTGTCTTTGACAGAGCTCTCTCTCTCTCTCTCTCTCTCTCTCTCTCTCTCTCTTTAGTTTTATAGCTGTCTGCTTCCCCCTAGTGGAAGATTTTATTTCTCAGCTGCAGATGAATGCTTTGCAATAAATAAATAATTATTTTCAGACCAATTTACTGAAATTGGATATATTTTTTCAAGGCACCCCGGTGGTCTCTGATGGTACAGCAGTTGGAAATCACTGATTTATACGAATTAAAGCCGGTGTAAAAGGCAAAGGGAAAACCACAAACTGTTCTGTCAATAGTTAAGATAAACTATTAAACTATATTAATTAATACCTACTACAGGTGAGAACACCTGTTTTGAATTAAACCTGATGAAAAAGAGGGAGAAACATAAAGAAAGCGACTATCACAAAATCCAATTTCTGACTTTACAGCCTTTTCCCATAATTGCCTAAAACTTTTGCAGCGGACTGGATATTTGAATAATGCATGTAAAATGGTGAGAGCGACTCAATGGGATTTTTTTTTTCAGTCACAGGATGGTGAGATGTGATGTCCTTTATACGGAGGAAAAAAAGAAGCATGATGAATGAAACCACCTCTGCAGGGCAATAAAGTGTTCCGATTTTCAACATTCTCCTTTCCTGCTGCTAACACCAGGCACCGAACGCAGCAGGAGAGAAAATAATGAACCACACGGATGGAAACCACCGAACAGGGGGCCTGAAATACCACACAATCACTCTTATTACAATTTATTATAAAAAACACGGCATCGTCTCCAACTCCCTTCTAGTTTGGACACATTTGAGGTCAGGAGATGCACAGATTTCCCAGGGTTGATTACCATGGTAACAGAGTCATGTGGGGGTGTGTGTTGTGGAAGGCGTCCTGGTTTCACAGTCACTTCACTGTGTGAGGATTTTTGTGATGACGAATTTGTCAACAGAGGTCAGCAGTGAGTCTGGGGTCAAGAGAATCATCTGGGCTCAGAGAAAGTTCTGGAGAATATAATTGGCACGGCGTACGCTACGTACAGATCGATGCGTTGTTTTTGGCGCGTCACTGGTCGAAACGCCGCAGTACCGAACTTTTGAGATCGCAAAAAGATGTGAACCGAAAAACCGAGTTTTCAGATTTTACACAATTAAATGTACAGACTCGATCGCTCCACACTGCCCCTGGAGGTTTCAGCGGGACATGAAGAAGAAGAAGAAGAAGAAGAATTCAGGGGGACATGAAGAAGAAGAAGAAGAAGACGTTGATGATGTAAGATCGTGGTGACATAAGAGGAGAGATGTGACTGGCTGCTGAAACCAGAGACTTCAGACACACTTTAAAGATGGCCGTGGCACCAGGGCGGCGTGAACACGGGAATCAAAGGGACGACAACGTTCTTCTCTCGGTCCATGTGTGGGAACGTAACACGTTACAGAAGGTTGAAGTATTTAAAGAGAGAGTACTACATAT